TATTCTGCTAAGGACATAGCGCTCTCCTCTACTTTCTTATCCTCCTCAACTATATCCTTATTTAAGTTGAGTCTCTCAACCAGAAGAGGATCCCATCGATAATATTCGAGAGGCAGCTCTAAATCCTCATCGTCAAAAATCCTATCCTCTGAGATTGTACGACTACCACTAATCTCAACTTGTGAAGCCATATTTTCGAGAATAATGGAAAGAAACGAAAATAAATTCTGAATCGACGAATATTAAAGAAGAACAGATTAGAGCAATACTCACCGCAAATATCAAAAGCCCTGAATCGAAGAATATACAAAAGTAATCGCGTGAAATAAGAGTCGAAAGAAGAATTCGAGGAATCTAAATGCAAGAGATCAAAGCAGAAAGCAACAAGAAGTACTAAAAGTGAAGGTAAAAATTTCTTCACGATCAAAACCGACAACTATTTATAGGTTTTTGATTTATAACTGTTGAGCAAACCCGGGATTGGCGCGTGTAACGGACGTGTCCATAAACGGCACAACATTACAGTAATCATTAGTAAGACGTGGGCTACTCTCGAAAAGCCATGTTACTACGATATTCTGCCCGTTAGACCCATTAAATACAGACACGTCTTTTAAGAACCGCCACGTCAGCTGAAGCGTTACACAACCATCAAAGAAAGTTGGCGATAAAACCAAGTGTTCTCATGTCGGTTACTATGTAAAAAGAAGTCAGCAAACAATCAAGTCAGAATTATTGAAGATATTAATGACATCAGCGGCCATTTCATGATATTTAAATACCCGCTAATGTCGGGGGCCTCAAGTCGGAGCAGTTAAATAAATTACCGACTTCTAGACGGCTGAAAATAAAACCGACTACCTATAAGGGCCCAAAGATCGACTTCACCGACATCATGATTATTTACATTAAAGATTATCCATTCATCCGACATCCAAGGGGATCAAATATCCAAGCAGGAGGAGCTGTATACTTTCAATTGGACCATCGAAATAAGGAATAATCATTGATGTTCCCTTATTTCACCACACACCGCATTATAGAAGCTGCTCAACATTAAATACAATCTTATCTACCTCGGACAAAAAGACAAAAACAACCGTACTATAAATAGCAGAATTTATGATTGTACGGGAATCTTTTCCAGCATATTGTACACGAACTTAAAATGATCTCGGTCAAGAACAAAAAACCGACTTCATGTACTCTTGTGAAATTATCAATAATAAACAATTTTATATTTATTTTTGTTTAAACACACTCTGCTGTTTGTTACTTTGAGTTGTTAATTTCATACAACAACATGTACAAACTACTTTGTGCTCTTCCAATTGTTGATTGATAAATAATCATCTCCATGAGCACAATTTATTCCACCTAGGAATATCTTTTAGAAAATTTCTAAGTCATTAGATTCTTCTACGCCTTTAGTCCAAATTTATAAATTCAGACATTATTGTGGATCTAGCTTTATACTTAGATAATTTTCATGACACAACTTTACCCATCTAAAGTGAACCCGTAGTCACTTTTTGTCTTAGAGTTTTTTCATGTCTAATACTCTATTCAACATGATCAAAATTCATCGCTCGAGTTACTCGTGAACATCTTAGTTTGCTCGCGAAAATGCAACATTGGGGCGAGTACTATTCGACAAGTACCTCAAGCCTCCAATTATTCAACATACTTTTTCCCGAGAAACTAACTACTCTCGAATTATTAGCTAAGTGTAGAGTCTATTATACATTCACTTTAGTTTAAGGTTTTATCAAACACATCGATTCTCTTCAACATACATTTGATATGATGAGATTGTGTCAAACAATTACTTCCGATGTATTAGAAACTTAATCTCCAAAATTATATTGGAATTTCACAAACTTTAAAAGTCAAATTTTATCTTCTTGGTATTCATGAACACATCATGATTATATTCCAAGATCATCATATTGTCTACATAAGACTTACGATCACAAAGAGTCGGAAGAACCTTCATAGACTCATTTTGTTATTCAATGAATTTGAAACTATTCGACAAAATCATTTCAACAAATTTTTCATGCCATTATTTAGGTATTTCTACCTTAGACCAAACACCCCGCATTTCAAGGTATAGATGCAAATGCTTTTACTCCTTTTATAACTTAAACGGAGTTTCGTATCTACCTTCGTGTGGTGCTTTCCATGCCCAAACACCCCCACATTTTAAGGTATATGTACGAATGCTTTTTTTCTTTTTATAACTCAAATGGAGTTTCATATCTACCTTCGTGTGGTGTTTGTAATTTTGTCGAAATAACTACTTCTCACATAAGCATTTAGCTTAAATTCAAGCTTACCAATAAGAATTATCACTTACTAAAGAGTGAATATTTCTTTCTACTATTTCATTGAATATCAACATCATTCATATGTGACTTAAAGCTACAAAAGCTTTATGACAATACATTGTGCTATCTTATTTTCGACTCAAGTTTGTATAAACTCTTATATCACATTTACTGGTGTGACTTATCTCAAGAAGACTTGTCAATTAAGCAACCATTTCATCTGATGCTTTTGTCACCTTCTCATTTTAACACAATTTTCATATTTATTGTATGAATCTATTCTAGATTCACCAACTTCTAGTGTTAAAATTCACAAGTTCCAATTTATCATGCCATAAATTAGAACACTCAGTAAATAAGACCAACTTATTTATCTTTTCGTTAAACAATAGTTTACAATGTTTATAATAATTGTAAGATGACCTTTATTAAGGCTACGTATGCTAAGAACACATCATATTTCGACATAACATATTTGTCGATAATCACCAACTAATCTAAGTTCGACCTTACTCAATTAATGATCCGAAAACTAGATTCTTATGGATGTCTTGGGCATGAAGACCATCCATGATCTCCAATATTAATTCTTAGCACACTACCTTGTCATTTCCTTCAACACTTGAAGTCGAGGAATTCCACAAATACTTACTTTCATAGTAGGGTTGTAGGACAAAATTTATAAGCGCATATGGGTCAAGTGGCACTTTCTCTTATCCGCTATAAACGTGGAATTTTAATCAAGTATGTACTCGAACCACGACAGAAAGATCGAGCTTTGACAAGTATTATCTTGTCCTCGACATTTCGCACTATCCTTTATCCCTATTCAGAAGTTAGTTACTTTCGACAAGGTGCCCGAGTTTATTACCAACGTAACAACATCCCTTGGATTTCTTGGCTCTCTATCTTGGTTTGCCATGAAAAGCGTTTTTTACGCTTCTCACACGAGCTCGGCTCGTTCAAGTTTGCTTTAGCCTCTATCTTGCTCTATTGGGCTAAAACTTTGGATTTTTCGATTATCTTCTTCAATCCGAAGTCGAACAATCAAGTCCTCCAACGTCATCTCTTTGCGTTTATGCATGAGATAGTTTTTGAAGTCCTTCCAAAGTGGTGGTAACTTTTCAACAATAGCCGCAACTTGGAAGGCTTCATTCACAATCAATCCTTCGACCAACAAACCGTGAAAGATGATTTGAATCTCTTCGACTTGGCTAACCACCGACTTGGTGTCCATCATTAAGTACTTTAGGAATTTACCGACGAGAAATTTCTTAATCTTGGCATCTTCCGTCTTGTACTTTATCTCCAAGGAATTCCATAACTCCTTTGCCGTCTTAATCGAACTATAGACATTGTAGAGAGTGTCGTCTTGTCCATTAAGGATATAATTTTTACACAAGAAATCATTGTGATGCCATGCATCCGAGGCCGTACGCTTTTGCACGTCGGTCTCACTTTCGGGGACGATCAAAGGGTCCTCCGAAAGAAAACGAGAGAGGGAGAGAGTTGTGAGGTAGAACAACATCTTTTGTTGCCGCCTCTTGAAATCAGATCCATTGAACTTCGGCGGTCTCTCGCCTTGGATGGGAGCAACTACCATCGGTTGAGCACTTGAAGAAGACGTTTGATTTCCTCCGGTTGCCATCTTATGAACTCACAAAAATTTCGTCTTAAGATTGTAGTTTATTTGTGGTTTGTGAATATCAAAAAGACGGTTTAAGGAAAATAAAGAAAACGAAACAAAAATCAAACTCGAGGCACGTAATAATTACGTTCTCCTTAAGACGATATTGCCCCGTCAAATACCCACGGTTAACGGCAAACGCCTCCAAGATACAACGACTTTCGACTTGTATATAGTGATACTTCAAATATACAAGCCTTCGACGAACACTGCTATTGTTTGGAACTCTCAAGACTCAATGAAAAAAATCAAAGAACGCAATATGCTATATGATTTTTGAAAAGTAATGCAAGAGCTCTCTAATTTTCATGTTTTTAATGATTTCAAGTATGTGGGTATTTATAGATGTAGGGAAACACCTCCAAGAGGTTTAAGTGTCAAAAGACACATTTTGGGACGTGCCCGAACGAGAACGGATGCATCTGGTGGCCAAAGATACCTTATGGTCACCAAGGGTTACGACCCTTTGATTTCCGCAGTCAGTTGCGCGCCCGTGCGCCGCGGGCTCGTACGAGCTCATACGGACTCGGAATCGAGTTCCGTTTTTTCCTACTTGTCCCCAACGAGCCCTTCTACAATTCTAGCATATATAATGCATAATTGTGTCTCGTTTAGTTCGTCCAAACATTTGACAAAACAGAATGTTTGTGAACCTTACAACTTTTGAGTTATTTGAACTCAATTAATTAACATATAACACTTAGAATTAATTTTCCATTCACCTTAAAAAGGTTTTGAGAATTTCATAAGTCTTCTACTTACGAAAAGTGGAATCGTTAAATCGGTACAAAACCAATTTTTTTTACAAGTATCTCATATCACTCGCAAAATTTAATAAAAAAAAAACACTATAACTAATTGTATGGTAATAAAAAAACACTAACTAATTCTATACATGATATTATAAAAAGAAACTTATTAAGTTTTATATCCGAAGTAATTTTATCTCAAGTCTTATTGTTTCCTGAACTCGCTTCATATAGATTAGTGTTGCACGTTCAGATGGAAGGGTCCCCGTGTCTGTTTCCCTCGGTGCCTTCTCATCATCTCATGTTCTTGAAATTATTCAATCTTTAGTCAGCAAGTAGTAGTAATAATAAAAAACAAATAATAAAAAAAGTAAGCGCATTAAACAAGTTTATAGTTGTTAATCAGCAGTCAATAGTCATGGGTCAGCCACCTCATTATTGTTTGTCTGGGCTCTAGTATTTGAAATCACGAAGGTTCCAATGCCATGCTTTCACAGCTCCCACCAACTGTTTGTCAAAATCCTTACGTAACGCGTTCCCGCAAGAATCAGTCTTCTCTAATAAGTATTCTCTGTTTTCAAAGGCGCAAGTCTTCTTCTTCTTTCTTTTTTTTTGGTGCAAGTCTTCTTCTTTATTTGTAAGCCTCCCTGACCAATTAACCATCATTTCTTTAATCTCTTCCTATCTGCATTCCGGACAATTCAAACATACACATACACGTACAAATAATAGTAATAGAAGACTGAAAAGACTCGAAGTTGACTAAAACGATGTCGTCTGCCCTGATTAGCAAAATGCAAAAGGACCTCTCGTCAAATGGGTAAATCACAAACCCCTGTTTTGTTTTTAGCTTGAGTTCCAATCTACCCAAGAAACAAAACTGCGGGTTTGGGTCAATTTGTTTTCTTCCTTCCGAAAAAACGTTGGTGGGTTTTCTAGCTAGAAATGACTAGTGTGTTGAGAAGTAATTTTCCAGGGTCATCCTCGAGAGCTGCAGATTCCGATGACGATTACAGCTTCGATTATTCTTTCGCGATGGAGTACAAAGGCCCTCCTATCAGCCGCGAAATTCCCAAACTGGCCCCAATCGACATTCGCCAAATTCCAACAGCATCCATGGCCGATAATTCTGCAGTCCCCAACAATTTTCCACTCCCAGTTATTCAACCCATAGTCAAAAGCGACCCTTCAAGCAAGAAAACCTCAGGGGAGCTGAACTCGGGCGGAGGGCATTTCGGTAAATTCGCGTACTTGGCCAGGGTCCATCCCGGAACATCAAGCTCCGACTCCCCTCACGAACCCAATGCCCTGCTGTCGAGTAGTTTGGACTATCGAGAATCAGAAGATGACTCGGAGGAAGACAGCGATATACTTGAGCTCGAGAACGGGTTCGAAATCCGCCAGGTGGCGGCTAACGGCAGCGGCGTAAAAAAGGGGTCGTGCCACAAATGCGGAAAGACGAGCCGTTTTTCGGTAAAGGAAGTTTGCATTGTGTGTGGGGCAAAGTACTGTAGGAAGTGTGTTTTGAGGGCAATGGGGTGCATGCCTGAGGGGAGGAAGTGTATCGCGTGCATTGGCCAATGGATAGACGAGTCGAGGCGCAGGTCACTCGGGAAGTGCTCGAGGATGCTAAGGAAACTGCTGGGCGATGACGTGGCGAGGCGGGTTATGAGTGATGAGGTGGCGTGCGAGGCGAACCAGCTGCCACCTCAGCTGGTGTTTGTGAACCGCAAGCCTCTGTCGGTTAAGGAGCTGTTTGGGTTGCAAAGCTGTGGGAACCCTCCAAAGAAGCTTAGGCCTGGCAGATATTGGTATGATAAAGTTTCTGGGTTTTGGGGAAAGGTGAGATTTTTATTTTTATTTATTTATTTATTTACTTTTTTACTAGATTCTGTTTGCATTCTGGGTTTGACTTGTATAATACATAAAGAGAGTACTTTTGAACTTCTTCGACAAAGATTCTTGTGCTTGACTTAGATCAAAATTTTCAGTTTCTATTTGCAAAAACTATGTGATAATTGATTTTCCACAAAAAAGAACAACTCTTCTGCAAACCTTCCTTAGATTGACTACTGAATATAATGTTATGATTGTTGAATAAAAGCGAAATAAAATAACGATGTAGTGTTGATCAAGCAGGAAGGAGAGAAACCGAGCCAGATTATAAGTCCCCAGCTGGCCCTTGGTTTCCAAATTAGACGGGATGCTAGCAATGGGGACACTAATGTGATGGTAAATAATCGCGAGATAACTAAACCTGAGCTCTGGATGTTACAGGTAATTTTTTTTTTTTTTTTTGAGAATCTTGTGGTTTATTACATGCTATGCAGGAATGAAGTTTTAGGCACTTCTGTCATGAACAATTTGCAGGCTGCTGGAATAAACTGTGAGGGAAGCCCTCACTTTTGGGTTACTGCCGATGGTTCCTGTCAGCATGAAGGCATGAAAAATGTGTTGGGAAAGTTATGGGAGAGGGTAAGATAAGCATAAAAGCTTGTGCTTTTGGAGGAAGTGATTTATAGCTATGGCGAAAGACACACCAGAAGTCAAATAAAAAATTGTTTAAAATTAGATTATACATGCAGATGAGAATATGAACTTGACAATTTTTGGGAACACTTTGGAGTTCATTTTGGAAATGGACTTATTTAGGACTTCTGAAAAAAGCCTCCCATTTGTCTTCCTCATACGAGCTTTAACAGTTATTCAAAATGTGTTTCCTAAATTCAAATTATTGTTGAAATGGACATTTACATCCAGAAGTCCATTTGAAAGGTGCTCACGAACAAGCATTAGAACAGTGTTTCTGAGCTAGAAGCTGATAGCTGGAACTTTTTCTTAAGTGTTTTCTGACACTCCTTAAGCTCATTGCTTTTGAATTTAAAATGCTTCTTACTGCTTTTGAGTTAATTTTGAAAAAAATTGTCTTCAGAAAAGAGTGAAGATACTATGTGCTGCTCTCTCTTTGCCATTTCCTTCTGATACCTCAGATCGTGATAATGGAGATGTTGATGAAGACACAGAGAAAGTTATTAGGAAGATTCCCGATCACAAAACGATGTATAAACTCCTCCTAGTTGGTTGTGATCAATCTGGGACAAGTACAATATTCAAACAGGTAAGTTGATTTTTTTTTTTTTTTTTTGGTTATGTTCTCTTAATCATATTCATTTCACTCAGCCTCAATGTTTCTAGCTTTATCCTTTTCACTTCCATTTATATACATAGCAATAGTTTCTATTTCATGATTGCTCTTTATCAATTTTCAAAACTGTAAGTAAGTTACGTTCGCAAATCTGTAAGAATGTTTGTTCAGATTCTTCGAGTAGTATGTGACTAGAATATAACATTAGAAACTTCATTGCATCGTAAAATGAGACCTATTTGAAGCTCATTAAAATTATTACATCATAGTTACTGGACATGTTTTTTGTTGGAGTCCAGGCCAAAATTGCATATAATGTCCCGTTCTCAGATGATCAGAAGCAAAGCATCAAATTCCTGATCCAAAGAAATATCTATCTATATCTTTGTATTCTCCTCGAGGGGCATGCACGTTTTGAAGAAGAATATACGAGTGAAATGAGAAGAAAGCGTGCTGAAGAACCTGGTCCTTCAGGTATTCAAACAATATTTATTTATTTTTCACTTAGAAAAATGTACTCTACCTAGTTATATGTAAACTCACCATCCAGTTCATATAATTCATTCTTTAGTATTTGTTTTTCAATTCCAGAATTACTGAATTTTCTGTTCATTCATTTTTACCATCAGCAATAAGTCGCCAGGTTTGTAAATCTTCATATTTTTATGTCAAGTGCGTAAATCTCACAATCAGCTGTAAATCGTTGGCAGATTATGCTGAACAAGTCGAGGAAAGTAATATTTATTCATTTGCTCCACGACTGAAAGCATTCGCAGAGTGGCTACTCCAAGTCACAATGTCGGGCAACTTGGAGATCATTTTCCCAGCTTCCACACGAGAATATTCCCCTCTAGTCGAGGAATTATGGAAAGACAAAGCTTTTCAAGCCACTTACAAAAGAAGGAACGAACTCCATACTCTACCTAGAGTTGCTAATTATTTTTTGGATCGAGTAAGCCTGTGCTTTTATAATCTTCTTTCTTTTTTCCTCGGAGATGCTAAAAAATTCAATTACCGAATGCGCACGCGTTAATTTATTTTATTTTTCATTGTTTTTCTGGGAAAAAGGCTGTTGAAATTTCGCGAGTAGACTACGAGCCTTCTCAAATGGATATCCTATATGCTGAGGGTATAACTTCTTCTAATGGGGTTGCTACCATGGAATTTTCTTTTCCTGAGTTGCCTCAAGATGGGTACATGGAGCCTTCCAACACAACTGCTCTTCCAACAAGGTTACTTTTCTCATCTTTCATTATTTGTCTAGTCCAATCATCTGATAGAAAAAGAATTTGTGGCTTAACAAAATACGTACGTAAGGCATTCAACATTAACTATATAGTTTTGCACTTTGGCCTCAAAATACTGAAAAATGATAAGAGAACAAAACTTTGATGAATATGAGAAACTTTAGCTCTTCCAGATGAAATTAGGTATTCAGAGGATGAAAGTGTTGACAAATATAAGCTACAAGTTGAATCCGTTTAAAGAACGTGTTTGGAAAAATCAGTGATAAAAATCGTTTGAATTGGAGTAACTGAAGCAGACTCTGATTAAAATTAGAGTAAATCGCAATTTTAGTCCTGTATGTTTCACTACCCTAAACTTTTTCGTCCTCTTCGAATTGCTTTTTTGATGTTCGTCCCTTATGTTTGTAGAAAGTTCACAAAAAGGTCCTTTTCGCAACCAAAAGGTCCCTTATGTTTTACAAAAAAAGTTGCAATTTCGTCCCTTATGTATGCTCGAGGACCTTTTTGTAACCTTTTTTGCAAAAATCAAAGACGAAAAAACAAAAATCAATTCGAAAGGGACGAAAAAGTTATGGTAGTAAAACATACAACACTAAAATTACAATTTACACTTAAAATTATGCAGAACCAGAAGGCTAAAATACCGAAAACTAACAAGCGAGCTAATCCCAATCCCGCACTTGACTCGAAAATAAACCAAAAACTTAAAAAACCATTGGATTCCCAATCCTCTGCAGCTATCAACTCATCAGAGTCCACTCCAACAGCCTGGGAGAAAACTGCAAGTGGCTGCCGATGTTCGAACAAACCGACCTCGTCATCTACTGCGTGTCCTTAACCGAGTACGACGAGTACCACGAAACCCTAAGTGGTGCCCGCACGAACAAGATGCTCGCGGCCCGAAACCTCTTCCGGGCCATGATTACCCACCCCACCCTCGCCCACAAAGAGTTCCTCCTCGTCCTCAACAAATTCGACCTCCTCGAAGAAAAAGTCGACAACGTCCAGCTGTCGACTTGCGAATGGTTTCGGGATTTCAATCCGGTGATCAGCCACAACCACGGGAGCGGCAGCAGCCCGTCCATGGCTCAACGGGCTTTTCACTATGTGGCTGTGAAGTTCAAGAGGCTGTTCAAATCGTTGACGGGCCGGAAGCTGTTCGTGGCGCGGGCCACGGGCCTGGAATCCAGTAGTGTGGATGAGGCCCTTAAGTATTGCAGGGAGATTTTGAAGTGGAGTGAGGAGAATTGTAGAGTTGGGTTTATTGAGTGGTCTAGTGAAAGCATAGAGCCTAGCACATCTGTATAGCAAAATTTTAATTTGACACAGTAGTTTACATTTTTTTTTTCTTTTTTTTTTGGGATCTGTAAGTTGATCTGCCAAGGTAAATTGTAGATATTCTGGATCAGTTTCAAATAATATGAGCAGGCACGGAAAGTTTTGTAACATAAACATTCAGTACAATACAGAAAACTACGAGTACATATATAGAGTACCATTTACATATATATACATGTGGTCTGGATTTGAGCCTAACCTCAAGTACAAATTCCCTTTGACATTTATTATTCCTATTTTACAATCAGCTAGGGGCAAAGCGGTCCATGAGCAGGAAAACTGTCATCTCGGACATGGTATCCGGGCTTCGGGCCTTTGCAGATGAGTGGAGAGTTGATGGTGATGATGAAGATGAAGTAGAAGAAGATATTTGGTTGTTGATTTCTTTTGCGTCGTTAGGATCATCTTTATTTTTCCTGCATACCAACGTGAATGGATTTCTGGATTTGATCTTTGCTCTCAACTTCGTTATTTCTAACATGCACATATCAGCTACTTCTGCCATTTTTTCTCTTTCCTTGTGTCTTGATTCCTTTTCTCTTCTCTGTTTCTTGATGAAATATGTTGACGTGATTTGTGAAGGCAAAATAAAGTGCTTGAATGGTGTGTTTTTATGGGCGGGCCAGAAATTTTGGTGGTTAATGAGGGAAAGAAAAAGGAAGGAAAAGAAGAATAAACGAGTTGAAGGCCCACTGTTCTGTAATGCTATTGGCCATGGAACACGGTTTTGTTCTCCAGGATATTACTAGATAAATACAAACTTCAAAGATTTTTAAGAATTTAGACAGGTCATAGAAAGGTGAGGATACGAGCAAGAAAATTCTGGATTTAGGTTTTAATTACGTACACGTATATTCTGCAAATAAAAAAAATAATTTAACACAAAATTAGAACTTCAGAGAGTATTTTGGGTTCTTTCAAAAATATTTACATGCCAATATAGGAAATAGACTCCGTTTAGAAAAATATATTTTACAATGCAAGTGCAAGTGAACTAAGTTGTGGCAGCAAAAAAAAGAGACCCGGTCTACTCTTATGCCTATTTTAGACCCAAGCGTAGACTTAGTCTCTTCGCATTATAGTGAATTTGTTATTTATATATAGTTTTATCAATGTCATCCAAAATTTGAGTCTATTTGCATGCCATGAAATCAAAATCAGACCCAAAATATTGTCGATGCTCTAACGATATGTCATCATGATTCTTGCACATAAATCACTAAACTTAGTGGACGTAAATCACGAAAATTTAGTGGGGAGTAAATAGAGTACGCAATATATGTTCGAACAGGGGACCAAGGCGGACATGAGCTACAAAATGATAAATGTTATTAAAAAGATGCTAGTTGAAAATGTAGGAACATGAAAAAAAAAATGTACTTGAGCTAAGGCCTTGGTGGCAAAAGTGGCCCGACTTGGCGGTTAGTACCCCCAGAGCATGATCTCCTCCGAAGGAAAAACCTTCATGAGGTACGACGTGATTGCCTCTGCGTCTTGGTTGGTAGCAAAGGAGTTTGGTACATTGACCTCAACGTGGTCGAAGCAAGCTTGTTTCAAACTCCCACTAGCGGTGGTCGAGCTAGACTTTTTTTGGCTCGTGGTCATCTCAGGGTGCGGAGCAGGAGGTCCTTTGCACTTGGGCTTCAGTTTAATGGGGCCAAGCTCGACAAGGAGTCCTTCAGGTCGGCCTTCGGGAGCTTTTCTCTTGCCGCTGGTGGTGAAGGAGGTCAACTTGGCAGACTTGAATTGATATTTTGAGCAAAATGGATAGCCGAGCCAAGAAATTACGGTAAAAAAGAAATAAGATCATGCTAATATTTTAAGTTTAAACCTACCAAGTTCATCATCGGTCAGGAAAGGGAAAGGTCCGCTAGCAAGGCCACAATGGGATAGCATACTCTCACTATTTACCAAAATGGCGTTGAAAGTAGGGAAGAACTACTCCATGACTCAATTAACAGGTCGAAGTAGGGGTGGGATTTTATACCCGAGAACTGGAGAACCGAACCGGAGCGGACCGAAAATAACCAGTTTCGTCCGGTTATTTAAAAAAAAAACAATTTTTTTTCAATTTTTGGTTATTTTTTGCACAAACCGATTCTTGTTCCCGGTTCTTTCCAGATATATGAGTATTAACCGAGGAACCGACTATATATATGAAATATGCATGATTTGTATGTTTGTATATATGAACTGGTTCCGGTTCTTGGTATGTAATATTCGGTTCCTCATTTTTTGCATTTTGGTTCTCAGTTTTTCATGATACTTTTAGTTCATGAGTTGCAATTTTTTAACCGGTTCTTAACTCAGAGACGGTTATTATTCATCATTCGGTTACTCGAAGAACCAGAAAAATCGAACCGTTATAACCCGATTCGGTTCTTTTTCGGTTCCTGCGAATATTTATATGTTAACCGAACCAGCTTTTTTTGTTTCAGTTTCTGTTCCAATTCCTGAAAAATATGTTAGGAACCGAACCGGTCCCAGGCGGTTGGGCTTAGGAAGAGCGTGTCTACAAGGTAAGCTAGTTCGCCAGGTCGAAGGGAAAGGAAGAGAGGTATGAGGTCGTACAAGGAAGAGAAGTATGAGGTCGTACATCGAAGAATCGCGTTTTCCAGCCCGAATGTTAGACTGGAGGTCATCAATAAAATCGACCTCGTCATGGGTTGCGAGGTATAAAGTACCCTTTTGGAATTTAGCCACATAACAATAAAAGAAAAATTGAGGTCGATATGACCTAACCTATAGTATGAAAGAATGGAAAAACACACTAAGTGCTTAATACAATTGGGGGAGAGCTGATTGACTAGCATGTCGTACACATCGCAGAGATCTAATAGTGAACGATGTGGAGAAAATCTAAGACCGGGTGCAATTTGGTCATAGAAAAACGTGTAGCATCTAATAGGTGACGTAATGCCAGTCCTCCGTGGCATAGATGAAAGTGCTAGTTGGCGAGCTACATAAACCATCTCATGAGTTGTGTCAGGAGTCGCATAGGGGATGGGTTGACCTAGGAGAATAAAGCTAAGCTGAGGAGCAGATCGAAGTGAAAGATCAAGGTCCTCCTCAGATTTATTGACCAAACTACAAGGTTGGGAAGAGGAAGGGTTGAAATGAGATGAAACAGCAGGTCGAGAAGAAGGAAGGGCAAACTGAGTTGGTGGAACGTGACAAGAGGACAAAGGAGTTGGCTAAGGGATGACCACCAAAGAGAAAGAAGAAGAAATAGAGAGAGATGAAGGGGTCGTAGAAGAGGAGGAAGTTGTCATGAGTCCACGACAAAGGCATCATCGGAGCCGCTGGTTGCACGGGAATATAAAAAGAAAGGAAAAAAGAAAAATATAAAAAATATATACTTGAGGAAGAAGAATTTGAACGAACAGTAATGGAGGAATAACTACTCGAAGGCATGATTGGAAGTGGTTAATAGACATGAAAATGATAAATTAAAAACACAGACTTACTCATCAACATGGTGGCGGTGAGGCTGGTTGAAGAGCACAACGGTGGTGGACGGAGGAGTTGCAGCGGCGGAGATCGGACTTTCAGTAGAAATGATGCATGAAGATTATAAGTGAGGGAATTATCGCAGAGGGTAAAATCTTGAAACGAGGGCTTGAAGAGCCTATTTATAGGAAAAAATCGGAGGAGGTGAAGAGGTGATTTGAGCTCAGCATTCCAATGCAAGTAAATATGGACTACCCAAATTTAAAATTGAGAAGGTGAAAAGATGGTCAAATACAGTCGCTGGATTAAGGTCGAATTGACCGTGTGAGATTGAAGAGGCAAGTTGAAAAGACATGTCGCTATAAACCGTTGGATTAAAGTTGAATTGGATGTACATGATTAATGGGTGCTCTGCACGAGGACGACACGGACTGCAAGGCGATTACGTCAAAAGGACGTGCTGACCAAAAGGATGTTATGTTGACTAAACTGTCAAAAATTCAATTTTTAATTTTTAAACCAAAAACATCATGCTTAGATCAAAGAAATCATCCTCATCAGAGAAGGAACGACCTAGGAGGTTGATTAAATATGTTGCAAGCTTAGTTCGCAGGACTGAAGACAATTGAAATTACTCTTAGATCGAGTTATCCTAACCCGACAAGAGTGTGGGGACCAGGTGATATGAGATATCATACCAGGTCGACTTGACTTGAAAAGTGGTCTAACCAAGCCAAGTGAACGGGCGAGTCGTTCGAAGATCTAGGATACAAAAGGCCGATGAAGGATCAAGTTGATGGTGGCTCAGCTGGCAAGGAGATTCGCCGATAGGTCGAGCTAGGGTTCTCGGATGGCCTGGTAGAAACTCAACCTGCGGGTATGCAAGTCGATGGATCGATTTGAAGGACAGTACGAGCAACAAAGAGGTAATCTAGCTTAAGGAAGATCGAACTAGTTATATGATTAGACTGTCTAATAAGACTAATGGATAAGAAGAAATATTATTAATATAAGAACTACACGTGGATTGAACCACGTGACCTAACAGAATTGGTCAGTTCTGGCACTCGGGCAGTACAAACGGGAAATTCTAGCACTCAGGCAGCTCGTCCGAGCAATCTTGGGCAACGAGGTAACACCCTTATATAAAGGGGCGAGTTATGTCCATTTACATTCTACAAACTCTAATATACTCACAAGCTTATACAATGTACTATTCACCGTCTTATTCATCCATATACTGACTTGATGTCAGAGTGCTAACTTCGGGAAAACATCCCAATCCATTTTGCAGGTCTTTGAACCAAACGTGAGCAGATCCAAAGTCGTTCAAGTCGGTCAAGGTCGTTTCCACACCACAACCTATTTATTTAAAATATTTTTTTTTCAACTCATTAAATATTTTTTTATTAAAATTAGTTAATTATTTTTTATTACATACCAAACCACTTAAAATTTTACAATTGTTGTAATAATAAATTTAGGGCTTGATTGTTTATGAATTATTTCATTCCCATTTATTTCATACTCAAAATCTAACTCAACTTTAACTCAGCCCCACTATCTTTAATATTATTCATATAATTAAATAATACAAACCAATCATTCTTACACATCAGATCAACTTCAATTCACTGTTCATCCACTCACATAATTTTAACTACCAATCATTTCCAATCATTTATCTCCTACTTTTACATCAAATCAATTTTAATTATTTTATTTTAAATATTATTATAATACATTCTTAAAATTCCACTAACAACTAATCATACCACATTTTTCAAAATTAACTATGGTTAACCAAAATAATTCATTTTGAACAAATTATTTCATAAACAATCACCCCTTAGTTTTTTTTTTTTATCTAACTAATTAGTCAAAAACACTCAAAGTTTGTAAAATTACATTATTGCAATCAATATAGTAGTTTATATGTAAGTTAAATAGTTTATACTTATATTGTTCATTTTTACAATCAATCAAATTTATAAAATGTGATATATTTATTATCTAACTTATGATTTTAAATATTATGTACACATATAAATAACTTATAAAATTTTCTTTGGTTCTGTGTATTTGCAAATGATTTGAATACTAGTTACTAACATAAATTTATGAGAATTATTTAGGCTTGGATAACTATGCACTCATAGAGAGAGATTAGCACGCAGATGAAAGAATTTAAAACATCAAATAGAAAACCCCAGCAGTTCCCAAATATAAATTTTCCTCCACCAACCATTGCCAATTTCTCAAAACTAGCCGCCACATTGCTCAACCCCTCACCCCCAATTCCGACCGGCTTGGAGAAGGGAAACCATTAATTCTCGATACGATGTCGTACGATGATGTGGAGATCGAGGACATGGAGTGGAACGAGGAGCTCCAGGCTTTCACGTACCCCTGCCCCTGCGGCGATCTCTTTCAGATTACTAAGGAGGAGCTTCGAATCGGCGAGGAGATCGCTCGGTGCCCTAGCTGCTCGCTCTACATCACCGTCATATATAACATGGAGGACTTTCAGGATAAATCCGACAAAAGTATGGAGCCGGCTCAGCGGCAGCCGGTGGCTGTAGCTTGACAAGTCCCCAACTCGTGTGAGTTCTTGATTTTGTTCTAATGTTTTCCTCCGGGGTGCCTTTTTGGTAAGGGAGTTTAGGATTTGCGTTTCTGTTGGTGTGTGAATTCTTGTTCGGTGGATGATGAATATTTTTTGAATGAGAAATGACGATTGTGAATTCATTTATGGTTTATTTCTTTTTTTCTATTTGGAGAGAATGCAGAGTTGATCTTACTTTTATCTAATGATGCTATTCTGTTATCATTCTTGGAAATTTGATTGATCTACTTGTGATAACTGATTTTCCTTAAAACTAATAATAGTTAGTGTACTTGCATTCTTGAGATGATTTAAATACTTTTCAAATTGAAATCTTCAATCCGTCTTATGCTAGTGAATTGGGTTCATGAGATGAATGTTTTGAAGTGGTACCTGTGGAGCATAGCAATTTTAGTTTCATAAACTTTAAATTCTAAATTTGTGGTCTAATTCTTGTTAAGTAGGTTTGATTCACCATGTTGGTGATGGTTTTGATGATTTGACTTGTCATCCCTATTCAATTGAAATGAGAAGATAATTAGGGGTTTGCTATTATACCATGAATTTTGAACTAATTGTTAGTTCTATCATCAGGCAATGTGATATGCTGTTATCTAGTACATTAACATAGAATTTGAGCTACTGAAAAGTACACACTCGTAGCACTTAATTGCCAAGGTGCTTCATGAGTGTTCTTCCCTCTTGTATAATCCTTCAAGCATTTTTCAAAAGTCATTTGCTGTAATATTTCCAACTGAGAATATCTCTATTTAATGGTATAATACTTTGTATGTAACTCCTTAAGCAGTTCAAGTTTCGCTGATGAGTGCCTACTGCCAAAGAAAGATAGGGCTGCTTTCCTTATTTTTGATAAGATTATTTCTGACCAATGAACAATGGATTTGTGTTTGGCGTGAGAGCTTCTTCTCTTTGTTTGGCTCAGCTGATGTGTGCCTTAGTTTTGTGGCCACTTCGGTTGGCACGACTTAATATATTCATGACATGAAACTGCCAATTCAGATAAATTTGGACAACATGTAATATATATATTTTATCATATTAACTATCATGGTAGACACAAGTATGTCACAAACAAGGTAACATGAATCATGTTACAACCTCTGCCCGTAAAGGAACATGTAGACAAATTTCTTATTTTGGTGTGTAGGTAGGTTTTTGGAGATAAAAAAAACAAGAGCTCACATAGCCTGCGCAGTTTCTGTACGAACACTAATTTCCACAACTGTAAATGTCAGAGATTCTTGTGTTTTATCATTTTATATAAAATACTTCCATTTCTATTGGTTCACTATGAAAGTTAGGTAACACATAATTTTGTTCTGTTATATGTCAGCAAGAGCCAACAGCCAAGTAAAACATAATT